TATACATATGTTTCTTCTCACAGACTTGGAGTATTTCTATCAATGACAGCAGTGAGACTACTGACATATGGTTAGAGAAGAGAAGCCTGTTTCTTTAACTCAAGGTATTAGCCAGTCAAATAGGTTTAGTTATAAATGATTTACAGAGCTGTTACTAACAGCAGATAACTCTACTACATCTTCCTGAGAATATACCCTGTACAGTACCCACACGCCCTGTAAGCTCCAGAAGGATGCTGTGCCATAACCCTTGTGCTGTGAATAATGCAGAGGATTTACTGACTCTCTGTGAATTCCCAGATGAGCAGCAGGCCAGTGACACATGAAGAGATCATAACCTCGTGCCTTTCAGTTCCTTTAGAGCAGGAACTGTCAAAAGGAGTCTTCCTCTTACACAGTCTTATGTGTGACATTGTGGAAATGCTGAAGGTTCTACATCTCCACTGCCTTGCTGATCCATTAAAACACTACCATGTATCACAATTCTGTTTCACGCAGTGGTTTGTGGGGTTCAAAGAACCCCACAGAGAAGTTTGGGTTTTTTTATGTACTCTTCAAACCCCGCGTTGTGTTTTATGGAGAATAGCAAAGGCTCTATCCACCCTTGTATTGTGGCAAAAAAGGAAATCATCAGATCCACCTTCATATAGTCCTTTCCAGAGATAACAGGGAAGCTATTAATAGCTACGTTTTCCAATCCATATTTCAAAAATATCCCCTCAAAAGCAAATGTTCAAGCATGACCTTTAATTCTCCCTTTATCAGCAGCAAAAGACCTTTCCGGAAATATTTAGCCCAATGGCACTCATTTTGTATTTAGCCCTTGCTCATTCAAGCTTCTTGAATACGTCTGGAGGGTCTTTAAACAAGTTTTTTTGACACTATTGATGGAACCTTTCCGACAGCTCATTAGGCGAATTCATGAGCTTTTCCAAACATGCCTAGAGACTCGTGTTCATCAGAGTTCAGAGTCAGCCAACAGATTGCTGCAGCTCAAATTAAATTGGAATTCCAAGCACACAAAACTTTGGCAAATCAAACGCACCAACCGATTTTTTTAAAAAACTGTTTCAGTTGTAAGAATAGTTTACCAAAAGAGGAATGTTTGCTCTTAATGAAAACGAGCAACAAATTTACATCGCTGAATATCTAAAAGCTGAGTGGAAAAAAAAGACCGTTTTAAGCAAGTGACAGCATATGAAAGAGACTCCTTGTTGTGGTGAAGAGATTATGAAAACACATTTTTAACACAAGCTGCCATGATCTCCAGATGAAATTTCTAATGAATTTTACCCTTCTGATAATATTATTGCTGCTAGAAGTGTTTCAAGGAAAACCCAAAATATGGTAATAATCACAATGCTTCCTAGGGAAGTGATTTCCAAACCTGAAATTGAGGTCAAAGGCCAACAACATTCTCATTAATACCAAAAATTTCTCTTCATATTGTTTCAGTATAACCTATAGCTGTACATTTCATATCCACTAAAAGCAGAGGGAGTAATTTCACTATATATTAGCTTAGATTAGGGTGATTGTTTTGCAAATGTTTATTGGCCCAAAGAGGTTGAAAGAAGCAAAGAGAATACAAACAAAGAGTTTTCAGGAAGGGTTTATACATTCTAAAATAGGGCAGTGTAGTTGCTGTTATTGAGACCAAACTCACGTTCACACCTTGAATACCAAGCTCACTTGCATTCCCCAAATCACATCCTGTAAGACACTTATGGCAAAAGCAAATATATGTGTAGAATCCCACAAGGGTACATCCCTACTACAAAAATATCAAGAACATTTAAATTAAAAAGTTAACCTACATAAAATATACATGGAAATAGGCATAATGGAGAAAAAATTATGACAAATAAACAAAAATATTGGAAGATTCTCCTCAGAGGCTTTGTAGAAATCCATAGAAACTCACCTGTCCCATGAGGTACCTTTAAAACAGAATGAACCTTAAATCTGTCTCATACACCAACTTAACCACTGAGGAAATACATGCACATGAGTGATTCATTCTTGCAAAGTGCAAGTCCTATTAAGAAAGAAAATACATCATTGCAAACTTCCACCATTGCAAACTTGTTAGAAAAAGAGCAAAAAATATGCCACATACTTTACAGCACCCAACATTTTATTTCTAGCATGAGAATAATTTAGAATTTATGATCTTCCTTCACTGTTTCTCCACTTCTTTTTGCTTCCTCCAACAACAGAGGAGCTTAACAAGATTGGTGCTGTCAGCAAGCAGCAGAATTCACTCACTTGCTGCACCACTGGCTCCCTCTCTTGAGGACTCAATGAATTAGAGCCTCATCAGCTCACAAACATGAAGGTACAGAGGGTGACCAATGATGCATCACCCAAGGCCTGCAGCAGCATCTATTAGCAGCTATTTTGCCTTATCACAGCGATAATAAAATCTACACGATTAGACTTCTGTGTGTCTCTTTGCAAAGCTTCACAGCCAAACTTCTCTCTTGTATGTGTCAATGAACACGATGTAAAGCAGGTTTTCCCTTCCAAAAGCTCGTGATAGGGCAACTTCCAGATGAGAGCTGCTCTTACACAGCTAATGCATGGCACAGACACCAGCTGTTTAGCAGAACACACTTCAAATAACTTATGAAATCCATATTATTAGTCTTACATCCAGTGAACAAGCTGACAAAGAAATGTCTGATGTAAGGGTTTCACTCCCTCTGAATTGGTGGCTTGAAACACAGTGATCCTCAGACTTTCAAGTACATGCTTAACTTTCAATATTGCACTAAAATACATCAACTTCATGGGACATAACTGGGGCTGTATCCAGGAAAACTCCTCTGCTGCCCTACATCTCTGAGTGAACAGGGAGAATCAGTCCTGGAAAAATAAGTGTAACATTCACCAGCATGAGCACAGCAAAACCTGCATTTCTACTGCACTCTTTAGCTGTTAACTCCCTTGTTATCTGACTTGTTAAGATAAGATGAGAGAGAAATGACTGCTCACAGTACAAAATTTGTAAGTCAGAATTTCTGCATAGGAAAAAACATGTTTAAGAGGCTTCATGACTGACTCTGCACCTAAATGAGTGACTAGTGGCCTGCCACAACCCTAACTACTGTCAGTGCCTTTCACAGACAGGTACTATACCCACTGTTATATTTCTCTTAAAAATTAAACCAAAAATAAAACTCTTTAAATTTCCAGTCAGTAGTGCTAACAATCTCTCCTCTCTCTGCCTTCCCTGCTTTTTAAGATCTCCCATGAAAATGCAGCCCCATGTATAACTGTATATTCTGAAAACACACTCCACTGGGTGTTTAACCATCCTGCCTTTGCAGCCCTGAAACTATGTGACACGTCAGCATATTCTTTCAGCATATTGAACTCAGTCATGTTCCTCAGCTCAGCAAATATTTTATTTTTCACCAGAGCCAGAAAACAGGTGAGCATGACAAGAAGTTGAAAAGATTTTTGGTATAAGTGGCCTTTTTTCCTCCTACCTCTTTCCTTGTATTTTTTTCCACATGTCACATAATCAGGAGACAAAGTCTTCTACTCCTGTAACTAAACATTTCTGCACTTATTTTTCTGAAGGTGCTTTACAGGGTCTCATTGATTTTGCTGGAATTGTATTTCAATTAATCTTTGTGAACAGTGGGAAAAGATGAAACTTGTTTTTGAGATGTTCTATTTCTTTTCATCCCTGTGTTGTCCTTCACTTCTTGAGGGCTTTCATAGGTTCATAAGGAATTCCATTCAGGCAGATGCAGATGGAAGATGGCTGATGAGCTGCATGGCAATGAAATGCTGTATCCTCCCTGCACATCTCTCAAAGGCCCTTCCTGCATTGCTCTCCTGCCTTAGGATCTCTCTTCTGTGCCTTTATAAACATAAAGGCCTAGTCAAGAGGAATATTATATTTAACAGCACAGAAGTCTAAAGAAAATTATAGTTTGAAATTATAACAGGCTAATTACCTAGCCTTTGCTTGTTGTTCAGCTCTTCAGCACTTTCTCACAAACTGGAATCAATTAGGGCAGGATTATATCACTCACTCATTCACTCATTCCCATCTTTTTATGTTAAAAAAAAAAAAAAAGGAAGCAGACTGAAATTTCTCCTTTAAAAATCTTGCAAAAGATCCTTTTTTTAGATTCTTAGAACTCTGCCTTTCTGTGCCTGAGTTTCTCCAGGAGCAACTTGTCTATCCATGAAGGCCTCCTGGCATTTTTGCCTGATTTCCTCTTTGCTAAAATGCATCTCACCTGAGCTCAGAGGAGCCAATCCTTGACTAATAACCAGCTTTCTTGGGCCCCTCTTTCCTCCAGGGCTTTAGCCCATGATTCTGTACCAAGCAGATCCCTGAAGAGGCTAAAGTCTGCTCTCTGGAGTCTAAGTTAGGGAGCTTAACGTGAGCTTCTCATTCCCCACCAGTTCTTCCTTGCTATGTGAGAACAAGGTCCAGCACAGCACCTCTCCTTGTTGGCTTCTCTATCACTTGGAGAAGGAAGTTAGAATCATTAACACACACCAGGAGCCACCTGTAATGTTTATGCCCTGCTGTGTTGACCCTCCAACAGGTATCAGGGAGGCTGAAGTCCCCCAGGAGGACTAGGGCTTGTGAACATGAGGCTGCTCCTCTCTGTTTTTAGAGGGGCCTGACCTGCTCAGTTTTCCTGGTTGGGTAGCCTGTAACAGATTCTTCCTGTAATGTCACCTGCCCCTGCCCCTCCTTTAATCCTGACCCTTAAGCTTTTGGCTGACCCCTCATCCATCCCCAGGCGGAGCTCAATGTGTTCCAGGTTGTCATGGACATAATCTCCCTCATCTCCCCTACCCATCCTTCCTAAGGAGCCTGTATTGTTCCATTCCAACACTCCAACCATAGGAGCCATTCCACCATGTCTCTGTGATGCCGATGAGATCACAGCCCTGCAGGTGTGTGCATGTCTCCAGTTCCTTTTGTTTATTCCCCATGCTCTGTGCATTTGCATGGTAATATCTGAGCTGGGCCCCCAGTGAAGCTGAATTACTGGCTGGAGTGGCCAGAATTCCTTGGTGCTGTTCTTCAGCTGCTCTCCTGTCGACCTGTGAACCCTCTGGGCACCTCTTGCTGGCACTGTCATCCATCTGGCAGAAGTGGGATGGATTGTGGTTCCTCTCCCCAGGTACCTAAGTTCAAAGCCCTCTGGAGCAGCTTGGCCAGCCTGTGACTGAAGATGCTCTTCCCCTTCTCTGCCACATGGACCCCACCAGCCCCCAGAGGACCAAGATTCACCAAGTCAAGTCCCATGGTCGAAGTAGTTGAACCCCTGGCACATATTCTGTGACCATCTGTTGACTCACCAGGTTGGACTGGCCCTTTCAAACTCCTTCCCTTAGCCTGGGTGGACTGATGAAAATACTCCTTGACCCCCAGAGTCCCTGCTCTATGGAGCAGTTCCCAGGCATGTCTGACCTTAGTTTAGGGTGAGAGCTGGGGCAGGGAATCCAATAAACTACATCTAATAGAGTACCTGACCCTTAATACTGCAAATACTCTCATTCCTTTTCCTCCTTTCTTTTATTTTTAAAAAGTTCACAGGAACATTTATTCCAACCTCTGAACATAATCACTGAGTTTCATAAAGAACAAGATTCCCACAAGGCCTCATAAAAGTTATTCTCGGTGTTCCAGTTCTACTTCAAAGGGAAAAAAAAGCCATTTTACAATAACCTTGCTGTCACAGAGTGCTTACAGCCAGGGTGTTCACTGGGAATAATCCATAATAAAAAGGAACCTTTTAGGAATTCCTGTCCAATTGCCACATATAAAACAAAGCAGGAAATAAAGTGTTGGATGTTTAGCTGTACATTCAGCCACCGACACCCACAGAGTCAAAAATAAGGGGAGAAATAAAAAGATAGTCTAACTAGATAGCAATATCTGAAGTGCTGCTCTTTGTGGGGTTTATTTGCTTTACATCACATCTTTTACTTCCAATTTCTTCTCTTTTTTTTTTTTTGTCTCAAGCTGTCATTACTTTCAGTGCACTGTGACCAACTTTGCAGCAATACAGGCCCTTTGAACTCCATGTGGACTGGAGCTGGACACGTGCAGATGTTGGGAAGAGGGTGGGGAGTGAGGGGACTTTAAACACTGAAGTGATGGAGCCCAAAATAAACCCCACGGTTCTAACTCTCTCAAACTTGATGGAGTTTGTACTTGTTGTACCTCTGAAGACAAATATCATGACATTTTACTTAGATTTTGTGCTTTTTTTTAAAGCGGGTACGCGCCTAAAGACTGGGGTGCCTAAGACATGAATCTCCAAAAGCTAAACCCATAGAGAATACAAAGGAAAAATCCACAAAGAGATATATTTTTTTTTCACATCAGCTAGCAGCTTCATCTCAGGTCCATCTCATTCTGACACTTGTCTAAGTGGAAAATAACCATGTGAGTTGTTATTTTGAAATGCAGAAATTCCTCAAGCACCGCATAACTTAATTTTCAGAATAAAACTTAACTCTATTTCCACAGTGCAAGATGATGCAGCAAAATGCATATTTCCATGTGCATTATGTTTTAAAAAGAAACTAATTACATTGATGAATATGCTCTTCATTCTTTTTCATAATCATATAATGATCACACAAGCAGCTTCAGAGTTCGAATGACGATGCAATAATTCATCCATGGCACTGGCGATGACACTTGGCTTTTGGCCTTGTGTTTAAACCATGTTAGCTATAAATTATCATTTTATAATTCATGCCTTGTTGCTAAAGAGATTATTAGAGCATAATAGCTGTAGGTTTGTATTCAACTACTGTTTTTATTCATGCAGTTAAGTATTTTCAGCACCTTTCCAATTAATGCTTCGATCAAAAAATTAAGAAGGGGGATAATATGTACTTGAGAATTTTGGATAAGAGCTACCATTGCCTTCTTAGAGACCAGAGAACCATAGAATAGGGAGAAATAGGATGAGACGGGATTTATGGGAGAGTTACACCAAAAAAAATCATTGTTGCCTATAATAGACATTTCTAAGAACATGAATAAACATCAGATAAAATGTGATATTTAACAGTTTGTTGCAACTATAGAAAGATTTTCCTACTGTTTGGGAAGTGAAGACTGTCAGAAAATTGTTAACTTCACAATATGTCTGACCATATCAAGTAAGAAAACAAAAATTATCAAACTTTCTGTGAAAACATTTACATTAGAGCAGCCTTGTAAACTAACTTGGGTTGCTTAGTTTTAAGTGAACTATTCCAAATCATAATCAACAATGATTTTATACCTGTGTGACATACTGGCCTAATGGGCCATATTTGCCATTTGGAAAATTTCTACTCTAGAAGCAACGTTCCACAGACAAATGCAGAATGACAAAATATAAACCCACAGAGCTTGCAATCTGTACAGATAGACAAGGAACAAGAAATTATGCCTGTGCCCATTTTATAAGGATATGATTAAGAAAGCAACACTCTGAAGCTCCCCTCCCAAAAAAAATAAAAATCAAAAATAACCCTCCATTTTGACACCGGAGAATACAAAAGGCAAAATTTCTTCTCTTAAAACAATCAGGTATTTTTTCTTGGAGAATTTGATAAAGTCTCTTTAGGTAGAAGTTTCTTTCGAGCTAGGTTAAAGGATTTAGATAGGAGATATCTGTATAGAGGATATTTAGTCCTACAATTAATGCAACTCATGTTAATGTTTCATGTCTCCAGATGATGATACGCCAAACAAACTCCTGTTAGTCCAGCATCACTTCTTATTCTGCAGAATGCTGTGGTTTCATTAATCATCCTGAAGCACAGCAATTATTTTTGAAATGTTTCCTGGGCAGTAAAATTGTTTTTTACTCTATATTGGTATTTTCTTCTCTTATGCTTAAACTATTTCCTCTTTTCATACTTGGAGCTTTTGCCTTCATTTTCACAGCCTTTGCCTGTCTTTGTTCACAATGGCAAAGCAGCCTAATCATTTCCCCAGTTACAGCTCTGACACTGAGCGATCATTCATGTCACAGCAGATTGAGTTTATTTACACATAATTGTACCATATCAAACTTTCCATTATCCTACACCAGCAATCTCAATAGAATCACACACAGTTGATAATGATGCTATCCAGAGGGTTCCCCACCCCTATTTCACAGCACAAAATTCCTTTTTGCAGCTTACTGCAACCACTCAGGGCAATGTCAAGGTTTCTGCCTCACACATAAGTAGTGTCTTGATTCCTGTTCTCATCAAAGCATGAAAGGAAATTCTGTGTATGCAACCTATCACCATGAGGTGCTGGCAGCTGACTCATAAGAGATCATGCTGGAAATACGGTATTTTACTTTGCTTGAAAATGACAAATATCAGATGATCCCCAGGAAATTACTTGCATTATAACACAAGGATATCTAAGAGTCCTACATCTGCAGCTAGACCACTGACTTCTCTAAGGGTCTCTTTTCTCCTTTTGCTCTATTCATTCAATTCACATAACACTGTGATGAGAACTGACTCACAAAACTACTTCTGGAAAATGGGAAGCCTGAATTGAACAGCACTCCCACATCAGAAGATATTATGTGGTACTTTGGCTGTAGAAAGTTGTGGTAGTAGTGTAGAAAAATACAGGCAGCAAGAGTTTCGAATTTGAATAGGCAAGAGGAGAATCCAGCTCCTGGGTTTGCAGATCAAGGTCACTGGGGCACAGTACCTAGCAGCATAATAGAACACCTGCAAAAAACTCACTTGAACTACAGATCTGCTCAGGGATGATCTCCCCCACCATAAATTCTCCCTGTGGCCTGTCTGGATTCAGGGACATTGAGCAAATTAGATAATATATTTTACCTATAAATAAACAGCTGGAGAACAGGAAGGAAAAATATAAACTTTGTTAGGCTAAAGTGACTGAAGCAGAAATACCTGATCCAACAGCAAGGCACAACTCTCTTCTCTTGATGATCAACAAAGAAGCAAGGTAAAAACTTCCAGAACTTCAATGTTCTGAAAAGGCCACAGATTCATCTTCAAGGTTTTGGAAATTCGAATGCACATGTGTAGATTCAAGGCAAATTAAAGAACTTGAGAGAGATCAAGAACAAATTAACTTCATGTGGGTACACACAGTTATATCCACACTCTTCTCCCCTCACCTTTTGGGATGTAGACAACACAACAAAATCCATTCAAAGACAGTTGTAGTCTACATATTAGGAAGATTGCACCAAGCATCACTTCCATCTAGGAGACATTTCAACTGCTCTAGGACAGGAATTTCTGACTTCCTGCAGAGGGTAGGATTCCTTTGGCACAGTCACTGAACACACTTTCTGTACTTCTGTCTCGGAACACAAGAGAAAGCTACACAAAACTGGAGGCAAACATTGTGCTCATGGCTGCACACCTGTTGACACACAGATTAAACCTGTGGGCTTTCAGCCCATAACATTTCCTGACAAAACTGAACTCCTGACAAAATAATTGGTCTCTAATTTTTTTTTAATTTTAAAGGAACTTGAACTATCATTCATCACCACTAACCTCCCCCCCACCAGCCTCAACAAAACAATCTGATTAAAGTAAATCCACTATAATTATCCATGGAAGCAAGAATCACATGACAACAGCATCAATAGTATCTAAGTCTGGATGCCATTTTAAAATTACTTGGTCCTTTGAAGCCTTAAAATGCCTGTAGTGGAGTGTACAAGACACAAACTAATCTGGGAAAAAAATATCTCTATGCCACTGTAAACTCATTGAATCTCTATGTTCCACTTTGGACACCGAACCAGCAATTAGCTTTTTATTACTATTATTATTATTATTCATTTGCATATATATCTCTCATTACCATTTCTGGACTGCTACATGAATTAGCTCAGTAATATACTGCAGAATTTTTCAAACAGGAGGAACTGTCCTTCCTTTACACAAGAATAAAACACTATCACAGTTTCAGTCTGGGAGGAGAATCTTTGGTGTATGTTTTATGTTAGAGGTGTAACAAATGAGATGATAATCAGAGCAATATCACCTCATTAAATACACCCAGAGCTATTGTTTAGTGATTTACTGCATCATTCTTCTTTTCAGTGTCTTGTGCTTTCCAAATAACACATAATTTGACAATTACAGAAATTGCATCCAAGCCTTTTTTGCCTCTCTAAAAGTTATCAGGCATAAAGATTACAATTTAACAAAATCACTTAATTTTGCAGATATTAAAGTGAAAATACATTCCCTAATCTAAAAACTCATGAAAAATACAAATGTGACAAATCAGAAGTCAATAACAAATAAAAGTAAGGATTGACCATTGGTCTAGAGGGTGTGAGGATGTTTGTTTGTTTGATGTACGTCAGGTAAAAATGCATCTGAGAGAAAGGGAATGTGAGCTGAGGGGTAAAGAAAAATCCACTGTTTTTAACAAGGCTACCAAAGTAATTGTGTTTGTATTACTGAAAAGAGGGATGGCAGTGGAGAATGCAGAGATACTTATTTAAGAAGATTAAAAGGAAGCTAAGGAAGATACATAAAAAGGGTATTTTGGTGTCGCTTAACATTGGTGGCAGCACAGCAGCTCTATAGCAGCAGGAACACTTTGCACCCATCATTGCATCCCTGCACATCACCTGCTTCTGAATCCTATGCTGGAGCAATAAACACCAAATTTACTCATCCCTCCATGCATGCATTTTTGTCCTTTTATAAAACACCAAACACATTAGTGAGTCTTACTTCTTAATTTTCTAACAACGGGCCAATCGCCAAAAGGCCAAAAGTGACTTAAAAATATTAAACATATTTTAAAAGTGTGTTGAAAACAGAAGTAATCCTCATTATCTTCTTTTTTTCTGCATTAAATCACAGTGCCCTCCCTTCCATCCTTTCTCTGATAATTCTATTGTGGTGGGTTTTTTAGTTTAAATTAATAAGTTGCCAAAGAAATCATAATTCACCATTGCAGTCTGACTGAAGTTAGAGTTATAGAGGAGTTTTTGCTGTATTGTAGTTTTGCCATTATTCCCAAGACCACTGACCCAGGAATTCTCTGCTCTTTTCTTTTTTTGCTTATCTGCCTTCCAGAGTGCAGATTAAGCCAAGCTCCCTGTCTTCTGTGACCAAAGCGCAATAAAAAGCAACAACTGAATTTGAAATATTTATTAGAAGTGTAGAGAAT